AAAAATATATTTTAAACATATGAATTTGTCACACTAATTGTTTTGCGTGTATCAATGTAAAATATAACATTTTAAGCTAAAAATGAAGAACATGGAGAAATGTTGGCACGTTTTATCATAAAATATTGGCATGTTTATTTTATTTTATTATTAGAAATAATAAAAGCCGATAAAGAGAAAAGTAAAATTGTAATGGCTGGCATTAAATTGGATTCCTTTCCAATTAACTACTTTTGCATATTTGAGGGTTAAATTTATTTTAATTTATTAAAATTAGGATCAAATTAATAAAATATATAATTAACAGTGACTAAATGTGTGATTATAACAAATATTTTAATTGTCACGTCATTTTTTCCGTTAAATATTAATAGAAAATGGTTTTATTGAATGCATTTAAATAGTACTTGAGTGACTTGATTGATAAAATTTAAAAAAAAATGATGGTCAAAATAAAAATAGGCAATAATTAGGTGGCCACGGGTACAATTTACCTTTTATTTTAAATAATTTACCTTTAAATTTTCAACTATTTTATAATTATACGTTGAGTCCTTTAAAATTTTAACGTTTTATAAATTAATTTATCGATGTTCATCATTAGTGATGTTCATCGTCGTTGGTCAAGCTGGAAGAATCATCTGTGTATATATATATATATATTACATTGGAGATTGACTAAAGTAATTTTGTAATATTAAAAGAATTATAAATTTACAATATTAAAAAATTACAATATTATGAATTTCTATTATCCATTAATATCAACAATTATTAAATATAATAAAATCTTGAATACCAACTCATCATCAAATTTGCCATTGTGTATACATCATTTCATAACAAATTTGTTACTTCCTTTTTCATAACTAAAATTTCTAGAATCTAAAAGGAAAGGGGTTTGGACTTGGTGTAAAAGCCAGCCGAGTGCGCTTGAAAAGAACAACCCTTTTGTGTGGTGATGAACAATAATTAAGGCAACTAAATGGAATAAAAAAAGCAGGCGACAGCATCTCAAAGAAACACACTAGCTTTGCCTAAATACGATGAGGGCAACGACAAAAGAGAGAGCCGTAATTAATCGATGAAAGAGTAGTACTTACCCATCACCAGTAATGAGTCACATTAATACACAAGGCAGCTGTCGAAGTTTCTTGTTTCACTGCAAATAAATGAGAAAAAGTGAGGTGCAGATTCGTAGCTAATGGGCTCAACGGTATTGATTCAGTGGGCAGGCTGTACTGCCGGCAAGTAGACTGCAGCAAATAGCTGGTGGCTTAGAGCAGCCGAGGGGGGTGCGCTCATATTTTCCAAAAGGTCTCGTTTTTAAGCTACCTGGTCCTGGTTGGTTCATGTGTATATAGTAGCCAGGCTTTACTTTAGTTCCTTTCTGATCATATAGACCGGGCACATGACAGTGCAATTATCATCAAAATGGGATTCCACTACTTGTTAGAGACAACTTAATAAACCCTAGTTTTTAATGGGCTAAACATGTTCATGTTGTTTTTATAATCAACAAGTGAAGGTTAATTAAGAAAACGAAAACCCCCACATCATGGCTGTGAATTGTGGACGAGTTAAGGGGACAAAGAGCCAGCAAAGGTGTTATGGAACAATATGTGTGAGCGTATGGGGAAGAATGTAGGAGGAGGTTGTAGGGTGGGGATACCCTAAAACTGTGGTCCTTACCCTACTTCTCTGTTTATATCCAACCCTATAATATTTACATGCATAAATTGTAATCCAACAGCTTGCAACTCAGTAATATTTTTTTTACCTGCAGATAACAGTAATAAAGAAGTAACGTTTTTGTTAAATAGAAAGAGAGAGAGGTCTGTTTAAGCTTACAAAATGGCGGAGCATGCATGAGGAGCTAGTAAAAAAGAGAGATCTCCAATAGGGTTTCAAAATAGGGTTAAGCTTGAAAAGAGGGTTCCCTCAGTCTTGATGTTAACTTGTGATATTAATCAACACGAAACAACTTATATTTGAGATCATAAAGCTATTTTACTTCATCTGATTCTTTGTTTAATAGCCGATTAGTGGTGTATTACACCTTCCAGAGATATCTATAAATATTAATATTTTTAGAGACAGGGGTAAGATTTCATGTTGGAGACGAATTTTTAAAATTATAAGAGGAGGACAATTTATAAAATTTTAATAGACGAAAACAAACTATTAATTAAAGATACATACAAAATATCTAAAATATATGCAAATTTAATTTTTTGATCAATTCATATTTAAGAGAGGAAAGATAAATTTTGCTCGTAATGAGTATTAAACCTAAACTTAATAGAGACGTCAACTAGTAGCTTTTAACCACATGCTCTCAATATTGTTGATCCTTCCCTGAACGCTTTATTGTTGCAGTTTTTAAATGCGAAAACATTGGAATTTTTTTATAGAAATAAAACGGATAAAATAAAGGTAAGTTGTGTGTTTAATTCCTAAACTATTAGTTTTGGTCTGTTTTAGCAATTAAACTTTTAATTTTCTCAAAATCATACCTAAAGTATAGTTTTTGTTTCATTTTAGTATTCCCGTTCAAAATTTAACGTTAAATTTTGAATTTTTTTGAAAGTTCATGCACTAAATGGTTCAAAACTGATAGTTTAGAGACTAAACGCATTAAGTTTTTAATGGTGGGGTATTAAAATGAAACAAAAACTAAATATTAAATATGATTTAAAAAAATTAAAAGTTTAAGTTCTAAAACAAACTAAAACTGATACTTTATGTACTAAAAACATAATTTACCCTAAAATAAATTGCACAAACTTTTTTCTCGTATTTATAGAATTATTTTACATTAATAAAATTATTTACTTCCAACAAATACTTAAAAATAAAAAGTTATTTTTAATAAATATTAGATAAACTATTTAATTGACCACTGAGGTTAATGTCAATATAACTACTGTATTTTCGGTTTTAACTTAAATTATATATTTTAAATAATAATGAAGTGATTTTTTGAACCTGAGGGAATAGTTGAAAAGACTTAGATCGAACGTTTCATTAAATTCTAAAGGCACGCGGAAAGAATATTTTGTCGTGTACACAGTTTTTTTTATATGAAATACACTACCCACAATTTTTGACATTGACTAAAGAGCCCATTTATTGTATTTAGTTTTTCTTTATTATTATACGAATTATATTATTTAAATAATTAAAAGAATCGTTGTTGTTATTAAAGATTACGAGTTTGATGATCAGCAACTGCAACAGGTGATTGAGTGGTTCTTATCAAATAGTTAAGAGTATTTAAAATATATACTACTTTACAATTATTTTAGTTTACTCAAAAAAAGTTTTTCTTTATCGTAAAAAAATCATTAAACTATATTTTTTTTCTGAATTAAGTATTTAAATTAATTTTATTAAATATTTAAATTATAATATAATCATCTTAGAGTTTAGACTATGATATTCGAACATAAAATCTCTAAAAATAATAAATATTCTTTAAATATTATATTTTTTCTTAAATTATTCTTTTAAACATTAAAATAACTTGATTAGTGCATGCGTTTATTTTTATATTAATTAACCTTTTAGTATTTATATCAACGGTCCATTGTTTTGATGTTGGGGGTATAAACTCACCCTCTCCCCATAATTAATTGAGATCTTAATTACCGTCTTGAACAAAATTTTATATTTTTTAACATGTGTCCATAGGTAAGGTAAGATGAGTTTAGCTTTCTTAAAAAGAATTTACATTAATATTATTCATAAATTTAAAACATCGGTTATATTTTAAGATAAAATACACTTCAAATTATTTAATTATACGTGTTTAGTAACATCACGAACTAAATTACCTCAATGGTTAGCGATTGTAAGACATTTAATCGTTTATTGTTAGATTGTTAAGAGTCTTTAGAATATATATTATCTCTTGTAATATTAATAGATTAATCAAGAGAGATATGTTCAGTAATAAATGAGTTATTTTTTAAAATATTATAATTTAGTCATTCAATTAAAATTTTATTACAAACAAGTTATTTCTTGTTTCTTTAATAGTATGTGATGATTACAAGGTAGTATATGTTTATAATATCTCAGTCATCGATCACAACATACATCCTACAAACAGAGTTATTCGAACCGGAGACCTATAAGGAGAATAATACTCACAGGGACGAAACTACATATAGTTCCATAGGAGGACAATATGTACAGATAAATACTCATTTAAACCATCAAGTTTTGATTTATTTTGATTTTGTCCTTCATGTTTACCTTGTCCCTCTCGAACTAAAATCCTGACTCCCTCCCTGAATACTCACTTTAACCAACTTCTCAAAATTTACACATTATATTAATTTGGTCATACTTCAAAACTATTCATTAAATTTAACCCTACATATTTAAAAATTCTATCAATTTAGTATTTGTTCTTTTTTTAAATATTACATTATTTTTCTGTTACTTCTTGGTTTAATATCAGTTTAACGATAATTTATATTATTTTACGATAGAATATAATTATTTAATTATTATTTTGATCCGATAGAACTACTGCACTAACTGGGGAGGTTGGCTTGATAATAGAGGAATCTCCAATTTTCTTATCTTTGATAATGTCCACCAGCTTTTATCCTCCTTTTGCAGGACCAGCAGCAGCAGCACACAATCAATGGCGTCCAAAGTCAAAAATCAGGACCTAACTATAACATGCGTAGAACTCATAACATGCTTAGAACTCACCCTCCTTTTTTCTTTCTTCCTCGACTAGCTCGATCGGCATGAAAGTAAAAATCCTATGGTGAGCAAGCATCAGCAGTAAATTAGTTTGTGGGCAAAATATGGACTAGTTAAAGACCAACTGGGCGTTTGGGGTCTCAACGGAGATGATTATGGTTAGAGATAAACCATGAAAACGACAAGCTCACATGAGTCGAACCAGATCATTCATGGGTCCCCTACGTTGGAGCATTAACCTTATCGCTCTCTCTTCCTTAAGGAACCTAAAAAGCAAAGAATTATAGGCTGTTCAACTGGCACTTAGAGAACCTTAGAGGGAGGCAACTTCTCTCTTCTTCTTCTTCTTGTTTATTTCTTGCTTTGTAAGCCAAAATGATAGGTCAAAGAAATCCAGAAACAACTTTCCCTGTTGATTCCTCCATGGCCTTCATTTATCTTGTTTAGGGTTTCCGCTTTCCAGTTTTTTTTTTCTCTTTTGGGGTCAAAGAAGAAGGCACCGACCCTCAAAGACCAAGAAAACCTCTAAGAAACCAGTATTTGCAGGTCAGTTTCTTGTTTTAGCTTAAAATTGTAGCAGCAAGCTACACCCACCCTTTAATTCCCCCCCCCCCCACCCACACACAGCTAGCCAGCAATTTTATGATTAGATTTTCCATGTGATAAATAAGGAAATCATAATGATCTTTGGGCAAAAGGAGAAAGGGTTTCGTAATAATGCAGATCAAGAGGATGATGATGGGGAGGAAGTACCGGTGAGAGAAATTTCAAGCAACTTCCCGTTTTCCCCTTCTTCTTCTTCTTCAGTTTCTTCCAAGTACAAGGAGTCTGTTCACTTGTCGCTTGGAACCTTGGGTTCTCGAGAAGATTACAAAGCCCAAGAGTTTAGTTTCAATTTCGACAGGAAACAAGAGCTGATGGATTTGTCACTCGGAAACAACAACAACGACGACGAAGAATCAAACATCATCGGAAGCTGTAGAGGTTGTGATGGTGATGATGGCAGTAGGTTTATTGAGAAAGAACACATGTTTGTTAAAGTTGTCACACCGAGTGATGTAGGCAAGCTCAATCGCCTCGTTATACCGAAGCAACATGCCGAGAAGTACTTCCCTCTCGACTCTTCCTCGATCGAGAAAGGGCTGTTATTGAATTTCAAAGATCGGAACGGCAAGTTGTGGCGGTTCCGATACTCTTATTGGAATAGTAGCCAGAGTTATGTGATGACCAAAGGTTGGAGCCGTTTTGTAAAGGAGAAAAAGCTTGTAGCGGGTGATACAGTGTCGTTTCAACGAGGTGCCGGGGAGTCGGTGAAAGACCGGTTATATATCGATTGGAGGTCCCGGCCTAATGTGCTCGGTCCGGCACAGTTTGCACATGTTCAGCTCCAAAATCAGTTCAACTTTCCTCAGCCGGTCCAGTGGGGTGGACTCTACTCGCTGCCTCGACCGATTTGCATGCCACGGAACTACGAACCTTTACATCGGTTGAATTACAGCATTTATCCTTTCAATCGTCACCACCAGCAGCAGATTACTTACGGCAATGTGTCGGATTATTATATGACGTCATCATCATCACATCAAATTGGGGCATTGCAAGGGGGTGGAAGAGGGGAGCCAATGCCAATGGTGATTGATTCAGTTCCAGTAGTTCAGGGAAACAAAACAGCGGCTAAAAGGCTAAGGTTGTTTGGTGTGAACATGGACTGTCCTAATCCGACACAAGACGAATCTTCATCTTCTTCTCTCCAACCAAGACTGTCCAATAACAATGTCTCACTGTCCGCTACGCAAGCTGAATATTCAAGGAAAGGGAAATCTTCCTTGTCCATTGATTTGGAGCTCTGATCAATGAAGCGAAAATTCTCAGCTGTCGTCAAAATCGTGACAGGCACCGGATTTAGGGAAGCGGGTCGAAAGACAAGACTTTTATCAATCTGAGCTTTCTGTTACTTTTGATTTATTTATTGTTTCAGCACAATAGTTAGTTAAGGTTTGGGATCTGTGTAAAAGCTAAAGATCAAAGAAGCTGCAACATATGAACTTGAAAATTGTGTATATTATTTATATATACAGAAAATTGCAACCAGCCAAAATGGCTTCTCCCCTGTCTGTTTATATATACATATACTTACATGCATACATATATATATATATATGCCATCTCTCATTCTCCTTCCCATGCTCTTTCCTGACTGACAGCATTTACTTGTGCTGTTATGCATGGGTAGCTGATGAATCTATAGTCTAAAAAAGGTCATTTCTTTGCTTCTTTTCTCTCTCTTTTTCTTACGTTTTTCCATGTTAGGTTTATATATATATATACATAGTTTCTTGGCTTTGTTTGCTGTTGAACAACTAAGCTGCAGGCTTGCAGGGAAATTTGCAGCACTGTAAAAGCTATTCTCTGTATTCTTAAATTTGTGTAAATTTTTCATACATATAACATATGATCACTTCAATTTCTTGGAAATTCGTGCCTTCTATTTACAGTCGTGATTCTGGACTGCTACGCACGAAAGTCTCTTGTGCTAAAGAGGGTTCAGATTCCTCCAATCGACAGGTCTGTTGGTAAGAATTCACCTTGCTTTGTCTAAATAGTTTTAAACTTACATACGTGCATGAAATATCACATTAATGTCTCTTAAAAGTATCGTTTAAGTCACATTTAGTTCATTGATCAGGCATAAAATTATACGAATATATGGCTCTATAATTGTATGAAATGGCAGGTAGCTCAAATTACTGGAGGAATCAATTAAGAAAGTACTTCGAACATCAAAATTAGCTTATCAGAAGACATGAAATAGGTTGGAAATGATAATTTTTTCCCCATCCAACTAATAATTAATACATCAGTATGGTCATATCAACTATTTATAAGCATTCAAATCAAATGCACTAGATATCTGGTGTTGTTGGTATCCATACTGAATTAGTAATTGCTAAGTCGGTGAAAAATATTTATTTTACTCGATCAATGCTTTTTTGTTTCTAGCTACCACTGATGAAGCTTTTAAATTGACTAAACATAGTGGTATTACATCATACATACACATATATGAAAGATGCATTGACTTCATTTCATGCTTGGAGATGGCTGCCCATGATTCTACATGTGATAGATGTCTGTTTAGAAAAAGATCAATGACCAATGATAGCAAACAAATGTCTAATAAATATTAATTACTTGAGGATTTGTTTGTTGTGCAAGAAAACAACTTCCATTTTCAACTTCTTTTTCTTAGTGGATGAATTCATACGTAGATACATAAATATCTATGTATGTATACATGCATGCATATTTGCTACTTCCCTAACATTGCATCAGTCTCAGACGATTATACAATATACATATATGCATGTGATGAGACATAGTATATCACCACATAGTGTATATATGGGGTAGGATTCACCTACACAATTAATGTAAAACTCTTTAGTTTTATACAGATTTATGATCGGAGGATAAGTGAATGGTTGAGATTGATTCCTTTTCTTTCTAGCGAATATCTTCTCATTTTCTAATGTTAATCTCAATCAATTATTTTCACTCATCCAACGATCCTAAATTTATATTAAATTAAAAGAATTTTACAATGCGTAATAGGGTCCTATACATATATGGGGCAAGATCATTGGCGGAAGGCAAGAAGGGCTAGTGAGGGGCCATGGCCCCCAAAATTTTAAAAATTATAATATGGACCTTTAAAATTTTCAAAAAAATTAATTTAGTCCCCTCAAAATTTTTAAAAATTTAGATTAAACTTTAAATGTTTTTAATGTTTTTGATTAAACCCCTTCCCATAATTTTTAAAAATTCTTATTAAGCCTCTCAAATTTTCAAAAAATTTAGTTAGACTCTATTTTTTTGAGAAAAAATGTAAACTAAACTCTTCTAAAAAATTTAAAAATAATTTAAACCTTTGAATTCTTTAAAGTTTTAAATTGGTCCTCCCAAACTCTATCACCAAGTTCTACTATTGGGCAGGATCTAATTATACTATGTAAAACTCTTTTAGTTTTACACATTTTTAGGACCATTGGATGAGAGAAATTAAAGTATGAGATTAACAGTAGAAAATGAGAAGATAATCACCAAGAATTTTTTTTTCCAATCTAATAGTCCTAAAAAGATGTAAAACTAAAAAAAAAATCACGATATAAATGGATATTAACCCTTTCTATGATGTAAGTGGAGAGAAATTGATGTTTTTATTGATGCTTTAGTAACATGGGAAAAGCTAGGGTCTAGTGCATATAGTGTATAGCTAGGTCTGTATATAAAAAATGAAGATTAAAGCCATAGATGTTGGAATGGTTTAGTTAATTATACATAAAAGGATTAAAGGTGTAATTATTGTTAAAAAAGATTCAATGACAAGATTCCTAACTACACATTAAAAGAGAGAGAGATAGAAAAAGCATTGAAGATTGAGATCCTCCACACCTTATAAACATAGGTGAGGATTAATAGGCAATTAGGCTTAATCGATGGTGATAAAGCAACCACATGTGCAAGCTACAAAGTTCATGAAATTAAAAACAAAAACAAAACAACACAAAAGTGTGTTAATTCGAGGGTGTTGCAGAGAGAGCTGCTAGCGGTGTGTAGTGACCAAGCTGTCTCTTAGGTGATGGCCGGTAGGCTTTTGAATTTTGCAGGGACCATGTTGTTGTCTGTAATGAATGGTCACAAACGTTTGAATAATTTTTTGTTTTTTTTCCACATTAAAGTTTTAAAACTAACAAATCGATCCTTAACGGCATTGATTTTTAACAAAATAATCATTTATCGATTTGTAATAAAATGATCACTCCAGCATCATCTCCGATAAAATGATGGTATGACAACGTTAAAAAAAGGTTAATGTTTCATTTTATTCCTAAAATACTACTAAATTATCAAATAGGTCATCAAACAATGATTTTATACGCAATTTATCCCAAAAAGTATTTTAATTTCCATTTTTTTTCCAAACACCCTATTACCTTCACTATATTCGAACCACATTCCTTAAAAAACAAAAACCACATTTAAACAATTGGGAGCACTTCCTTAGTATTTGTTTCAACCACACTTAAACAAAACCTAAAAGTCTAAAAATATCTTCAGTTGCAATACCAATCTTCGAAATTCGGTGTTTTTATTTCTATCTTACAGCGTTGCGTTGGAGTAAAGTACTTATTAGTGTGCTATATTTTCTCTTTAGCATTTGATTTTTGATTCGTGGGTTATTAATTGTCTAAAATATATAATGACATGGAAAAAAACAACATAATGATTCACTCTCTGTTTTTTGGGCAACAAAGGATAAGGAAACTTATTGTCAACCGGAGGCAATTAACAACCCATAATGAGAAACGAGTAATATATCTGAAGCACCAACTTGTGATTAATATATCTGAAACGAGATCATGCTGTAGAATCGAATTAAATTCATCCACTTCACAGCTGGTATATATATATATATATATATATATATTTAATGTCAAATTTCATTCTTTTATTTTTTTAGTTGTGTTATAATTCATGGGATAAACTACATCAGATGACACTGGAAACCCTAGCTTGTTGAACAAGGAACGTGGATATTGGCTAAACTTGTGCTCCTGCGTTACTGTCTTCTTCTATTTGAGTCTGTTTCAGCTGTTGGGTTTGTTCGGCCTCGCGGTTTCTGCCCCACAGTAGGATATATAATCCGATTACAACTAAAATAGATCCGATAATGCTGTTCATAGCCGATAAACGGACGTTAGAAGCCATATCCATATAAAACCTTTGATGAACAACGATGAATATTAGGAAAGCGGGATTGAAGTAAGAAGCAAACCTTCCAAAGTAGATTTGCCCATGTAGAATGGAGAAATCAAATATGGCTACAAATATTTGCACCAGTGGCGTGAAGGGTGATGTGAAGACTGGACCTTTTTGTTTCACACACCAGGACAATCCCGCATAGCACAACCCTGATCCCACCATTCCCTTCGTTTTCGGATCAAGAAATTGGAATGTGATTATGAGTTTGATTCTGCAGTAAAGATCAAAATTTTGAAAATACGGTACGGTGTAAGCCACTGTTACGAGTTCGAGTCTTCCGTTCAAGATCCATCTGGTGAAGTCCCTCTCTGTTATCAAACTTTGGATGGCTGATTGAATTGCACTGAAGAATGACAAAATTGCAGTGCTGGAATACTGGCATGGATATGTCCTTCCAATTCTGGCTTCAGAAGGAACCATGATGACAAAAAGACGGTACCGGCAGCCAGAAATACGGAACCGATCGCCCATCTCTCTGTCGTATTCTTACTTGAAACCATCATATCAGCATAGTTTTCGGCATGAAACGCGGCCCCCGAATCCGATCCCACCAATGTTTTCCCTTTGTAAAGTGTCAGCACCATAGCTCCACCGATGCAAACCAATGTACCGATAACCTTCGTAGCCCCCGCCTTGTTTCTGAGATTCACTTTCTATAGACTGCAAAATGAACGATATAATCGAAGAGATAAGACCAACCAGACCAGACCGAGTTTAAAAGCGACCGAAACGCACTCGGTGTTCAAGAAATTACCCAAACGGTAGCGCCAACATAAAGGTAATTGCAGGAACCATATTGACGAATGCACATGTGAAAGTTGAAGAAGTATATTGAAGTCCAAGAAGGAAAGAGTACAAACAGAGTGTTGCCCTGGATTACATTTGTTGAAGTTTCTTAGTATAATTTATAAAGTTGAGAATCATAACCGAACTGGAGATAGTTGTTCGATATCTTTAGAACTAACCCTATAAGAGCACTGAGGAAAAGCTGGCACAAAACACCAGCTGTGAGCTTGGGTCTAGTTTTTGTGCAGGGAAGCCAATAAACCAGCTGACATAGTTGAGTAAAACACCAAGACCAAAACACAAGCACGTTTACCTCTCCCAAAAGTAGGCGATCGGAGCCAAGGAAACGGCGGAAATAGCCTGACGGTACATCAAGATGATTAGACGGCTCACGCCATCATCTAGAATCTTTTCGTAAGCACATTCGTTATAGCCAGAGCGAAGTTGATAGCTACCATTGCAGTAACAGTCTTCCATTGTTGACAGCAGCTCATCATCTCCAGCAAATAAAGCAATTAGAGAAGAAATCACAAGCTTCGAAGCACAATTCAATATCTTTTCCGGTTTACCTATAAATAGGAGTTCTCCCCTCCAAATTTGAATTATGAATTGTCCTCATATTTCAATCAATACCATGCTTTTAACCGATTAACTTTGCTACTATCATCGTCTTTTCGAACAGTAAGAGATCTACAGAACCAGTGGGGAAAAAGTTCATGCATTTCAGAGAGAGCTTGTGTTAATCTTGTATACTGTTCGAGTAAACGATTACTCTTAGGGCATCCATGAAAATGGTAACAGACAAGACCTGGCATCAAGTTTCTGTGTGGTAAATTTCAAAACTTTACAACCCATGTTGATGTTCCCATCCATTTGCCAAAATACATTTTCTGGGAATAAAAGAAAATGGTAAATTCCCATCCATTTACTCATAGGGCAGCCATGAAAGTGGTAACAGACAAGACCTGGCATCAAGTTTCTGCGTGGTAAATTCCAAAACTTTACAACCCATTTTGACGTTCCCATCCATTTGCCAAAATACATTTTCTGGGAATAACCCTCTTTATGCCTTTCTCTATTTTGTATATTTGAGGCAATTCTGGACAACCGTGTAAGTCGCCTCAGTCGTTAAAGGATTATTCTTTTTGTTCTTCAATTAATAAGTGGTCATTCAAGGATTATTCTTTTTGTTCTTCAATTATTAAGTGGTAATTCAAGGATTATTCTTTTTGTTCTTCAATTAAAAAGTGATGAAATTGTGCAGAATTCCGTGTCCATTGCTTTATTTTTTGGCGTAAAAGTCTAGAATTCAATCCATAAGGTGAAGATTAACGAAGCAATTAGCACAAAAATGAATCAAGTTGGTATATAATCCAAAGAATTTGATTTACAAATAGTAGACAAAAGAAATTACCGGGCAGGACGCCGGCTTAGTGAATCGTGTGCAGATGCCTTCGTTATCGCCGGTGAGGGTGAATCAATCGGAAGTTAAGAGGATAGATCCTGAATTATCTGGCGAAGATTGCACGATCGTGAAACCGTCACATAAGTTAATTTTACCGGCATCCATGCCAAGGTCTTTTCTTCCGTAAGCACATTTCGAAGCGGACAGATTGTACATACTGCAAATATATGTGAAAATCAAGAGAATGGAAAAGATTCTATTGCAAATAAACAAAGAATTTACATTTCAGAGAGTGATCTCTTCGACTACCAAAGCCAACAACCATTTTTTCTCTCAAATAGGCAGCAGAATACATCACAAGCGTTGACAACAGCAAGACAGGACATGAAGTATAAACATATAAAAAACACTTAGAAGCTCGCAGCGAAACAAAGAACCAGATCAAGTATGCTTATCTTTCACTGCTACAATAGAAGATTTGAACCAAGGCACGCATGCTGAGGTTGTCTTCTGATACAAGCTGTACGCTTCAGCTCTGTACTCTTGCCTCAACATCCGCTGCTCGACGAGCACCGTGACATAAGCTAAGCACATACTGTTGATCAAAGCTCCGACAAAAGTCCACCCGTGTCCGAGGCTCCAAGCAAACACGACCAGCCCCCACCACCACAATTGCTCGCCGAAATAGTTCGGATGGCGCGAGTACCGCCACAAGCGCCGGTCGAGGTTAGGGACCATAGGCTTTCCGAGCTCTTTTAGCTTGCGGTTTCTAGTCACGAAATCATGCAATTGTGTATCTGCAAAGTATGCTATGACAATGCCACACAAACAAACTAAAGCAGCAACAAAATCCCATATGTTCAAAGGCTTATCCACCGAGTGCACCGCATACAGTGGAAGACATATCCCAATCAAAAATATCTGCATAGTAAAATAACCATTTCATGGTAGGATAAGTATGAAATATACTTCTTGCAAAATGCATCAAACACAACAAATCAAAGCTTTAAGCACTTTATTGAATATATTTTCCAATTGATAAAGCAAAGATCTTTAAAGCATTCACCTGTTGGGAAAAGTAAACAACAAAAAATGACATCCACCACCAATGTTTACCATACTGTCGGCGCATATCGGTGAACCTCCAGTCTTCTCTTGCGCCCCATTGCCAATTTTCTCGCCTAAAATAGTTATGGGTCAGCCTAATACTCCAAACCCATGTCAACACTATCACAAGCTTGGATCTCAACCGATCAAATTGAGCCGAAGGGTGTGTTGCGTAGTAATAAACTAGCAACACGGGTATGACCGTCCAGTACAAATCAATCATCTGAAAAAACCCCATCATAAAAATGGAAGCTTTAAAAAAAAACTTTGAAGGAAAAAAAAGTAAAGTAGTAATTAAAACCCACTAACCCAATTACTGCATTGGATATGACCGATAACCCAGAAAAGAACATTGACATTGAAGAAAAACAACGCATTGGCTAACAGCAGAGGGTGGTGAAAGCACCATGACCAAAGATGAGAAAGGGAAGCACCATTGTTGCTCTGCAAATGGTTGAGGAAATAAAGATAGAAGAGAATTGAAGGGAGAGGAACAAGAAATGCTACGACAGCATTCTTCAAGTTGCTTCTAGACATGTTTTAATATCGGGTTTCTAAGACCTTGGGGGTTGTTGGTCAGAGTGGAGCAAACGAGGTAGAGATTTATAGCAGAACTGGATAAATAAAAAAAGCTAAGTCCAAATGATGAGCGAAGATTCGTGGTCATGAGCTGCGCATGGGCTCCCATGGCCAATCAGCCGATGGTTCGTAATTATGTTCTCGGCCTGCTCTTTGTTAAAGGGCCATTTTCTGGATTGGTTTGCTTCATTATTAATTTCCTAAAATTAACTTTAGGCTATCCCCAATCATTTGTTTAGTAGCTTTAACCTAGAAAGCATTTATCTTTAGGATAAATTACGTGTGTAGTATTTAAACTATCAGTTTCAGTCCATTTTAACACCTGAACTTTTAGTTTTTTTCAAAATCATACCTAAAGTTTAGTTTTTGATTCATTTTGTTATCCTCCGTAAAAAACTGTAGTTTTTATTTTATTTTAGTACACTCTTTCAAAATTTAATATTAAGTTTTGGAAAATTAAAAGTTTAGGAACTAAAACGGACCGAAACTAATAGTTTAGGTACTGAACATGTTAATTTTTTAGCAGTGGTATTAAAATGAAATAAAAACTAAACATTAAGTATGATTTTGAATTTTTTTTTGAAAGTTTAAGTATTAAAACGAATCAAAATTGATAATTTAGGTACTAAATGCATAATTTACCCTTAACTTTATGTTTTTCATAAATATTAAATTAAATGGAATATTTGTAATTTTAAAATAATAAAGTTCTCAGTAAAAATATTGAAAAAGGCCTTTATACAGACTATTCTTTCTAATGTATTAATAAAATAGATGAGGACTTGATTTAGGGTGCTTGAAGTGCATGTAATGATGGGCGCAACCTGTAATGGTGAGTGTAATTATGCAACTCGCATGGAAATTGGAATCCTCAGCCGCGTGAGGGTTGCACAGAGGTCGGATTTCAATCCGGATCTATTTTTATCTGATCTGGTTTTTTTTCATAGAAAAAAAAGTGGTTTATAAAATAACTGGTTCGGTTTCTAACCGGTTTGGAGGGTCGGATATCCTAACCGGTTTCGGTTTTAAAAAAATCAGTTTTTTTAAAAAACCGGTTATAAAAAAACCGATTTTAATATTATTAAAATTACATCGTCATCAATTGCAACAAAGTTTACGATAATTTGTTGAAAACATTTTAATATTTCGATATAACAAATTAAGTTAAATGAATTTTAAGATTTTCCAAATGATTTTCTAAGTATATTCGATATAATTATTCGAATATCAAAACATTACTCCAAATATTTCAAAAATCATTTTTAATCCTTACTTAAGTGTAAAATTAAGTTTTAATCTTAAAACAATTTCAAAATAATATTTCAAAGTATTTCGAACCATTTCAAAGCCAAAAATTTTCAGATTGCTCAGAGGGAACCGATTCCCCCCCAAGGGGGTACCGATTCCCCCCTGAATGGTTTGGCTCCGAGATTTCCAGAATGCTCGGAGGGAACCGATTCCCCCATAGGAGGTACCGATTCCCCCCTATTCAACGGTCGAAATATTTGAATTTTACACTTAGGGAACCGATTCCCTATGAGAGGGTACCGATTCCCCCCACGCTCCAAGCATTTTTATTAAATGTTTTCACATTTAAACGGCTATATTATCTTCATTAATTATCCATAACGTTCAGAAGTGATTGAAGGTGTATTTAAGCAAGCTTAGAAGCCATTGATCAAAGACAAGAAACATTAAGCAACTAGAATCAAGAGAAAGCATCAAACCTCAAGTTTGAGCATTTCAAGCCTATTTTCATTCAATATTCATTTTGCTTTCAAGAACACATATTGTGCTCAATTGTATTCATCTTTGAGTGTTCTTTTCTTTGTTATAGAATTGTGCAAACAATCTACCTTGTAAGGATTTTCTTGTAAGTTTGCAAATTTGTATTGTTCTCTTTGAGAGAGAGTTTTCTCAAGAATTTGGGGTATAATTCTTGAGGGTTTGTAAGGTTACTCTTTGTCCTCAAAAGAAAGACAAATTAGTGAATTTGTGAAAAATCCTTAGTGTAGATAGCTAAGGTAGTGGACGTAGACTTTGATTGAGAAAGTCGAACCACTCTAAATCGATGTGCAAATCTTTTCAATTTTCTGCAAAAACTTCCACCGAAATTTTAATTGCCAATTCACCCCCCCTCTTGGCCGATTCCGTCGATCGATTAACTCAACATAATTGAAATACTTAAATACTTCCAAGTTTGATAAATTCAAATACTTAAAAACTTCCAAGTTCGATAAATTCAAATACTTAAAAACTTCAAGTTCGATAATTGAAACAAAGTTTACGATAATTGAAATAAAATTTAAAAATAAACTACATTGCCATCTCTTCTTCATCATATTCGCCTTCTTCGTTTGGAGGGGATATTCCAAGTTCGACTTCTTCAATGTGTAAGTTTGCTTCCAAATCTGCATCAATTGCATCTTCTAGGGTGGTGATATGTTGCTTACGAGCCGCTCCATCCAAATAATCCTTTAAACAAATGCATACTTCCACCGACTCGGGACTTAGTCTTGATCTCCGTTGCGATATAACCCTGCCACTAACAGAAAAAGTGGATTCCGAAGCTACCGTAGAAGCTTGGACGGTTAGTAAATCACGGGCCATGGCGGCTAGAATCGGAAATTGTGCTTCCTTTTCTTTCCACCAAGCCAAAATATACAAACTTTCAAACTCTTCAAATGTCATTTTTGATAGAAAATCGCATGACATGTAATTTCTCAACTCGCTACTTGGGGTGGTAGTACGTGATCGTTTGGATTGGAATTTACAAGAGTGTTAAAAAGATTCAAATTTATGTTACTTGGACGTCTACTAGATGATTCCACATTCATTCTAATTTGATCGTGTATTACACTACTTGATCCGTATTTAGTTAAATAAATTGCAAACATGTCTCGAAAACATTTGTTAAAATAATTTATTTGGTTTTAGACAAAGTTGGGTTCATCATCGGTTAGATTAAAAGCAAACGCAATTTGTTCAATTAGTGTTTCAATCCCGCCAACATTTAACGTTGGGTTTAAAGTGGCGGCACAAGTAAAAATGGGGGGAATCTCCTTAAAATATTTTAAAAGTTTTTCCTTCATTGCAAAGCCAATTTCTTGAAAAACTTCGGTTTCAAACCAACAAAAATATTTGATTAAGAACTAACGGGCTAGTAGGGTAATAAACACCGGATAAAAAAGTTGTTGTATTTTTAAAAACCCCAAGCAAATCGGTTATTTTGGCTATAGTTTCCCAACTCGAATCCGGATAAATGTTTGGGACATGACCCCTCTCGAAAAGCCGATCATAAAATGTTTGCAATGTTTCCCTTTGCCTTAAGGCAGTATGCATCATCATCCAAGTTGAGTTCCAACGAGTTGGACAATCCAAATTAGGACCCAAAGTTTTTTTATTAACGGACTTACAAAATCGTTTATAATCATTTAGTCTTTTGTTGTTGTTACAAAGAACCGATTTTATCATTGTTTTAAATTCTAATCTAATCGGCTCAATAACCTCCAAACCAGCTTGCACGGATAAATTAATTATGTGTGCAACGCAACAGGTATGAAAAACGCACCGTCTAAAATCGGTGAAAGTAATATTTTCAATCTTGGAATCGCGTTTGTATTATTCGATGCATTATCAAAGATATAGAAAAAACTTTTTTTCTAATTTATAAAGACAAATTACATTTTTTAAAAGTGTAAATAAATTAGCACCGGTATGCGGCTCACCGAATAATTCAAACGCGATTGTTCTTTTCATCATTTGCCAATATCTTGATCTAACCAATGTGACGTACGGCTAAAAAAGAATTTCCGGTATTATGAGGGGAACTCCAAACATCACATGTAAGCGACACACCATAACGGTGTTCTTGGAATCCTAAAATCATTTTTCCCTCGCCGTACGCCACATTTTATAGCATCTCTTCTAAGGGTAGTACGACTTACTTGAGTATAACGTGGTTGCATTAGTTGTTGAATTGTTGTCGTGAAATCTTCATCATCAAAGTGGTCGAACGGCAATGCTTTTGTAATCACGAACTTTGTAAACGCTTCTCGTAATTTTTCGTTGTCGTAAACAAAAACACCACCTTGCGGTGTAAGATTCGATTGACTAGGATCCGATCTGAGCGAAGTACCATGCATGATTTTGTCAAATGGTTCTTGAACGTTGTGTTTCCTTCCGATGCAAGAAACTTTAGACAAAGTTTACAACGCGCCCTCCTCGAGCCATTTGACATCTCACATAAATCGTAGTGATCCCAAATATTTTTTCGAGTGTGTTCAATCACTCTCACGACTTCAACGTTTCCCCCGATGGAAGATTCAGCCGTGTTACTCATGATGAACAAAAAATTACAAAAATAAGATTTGAGAGATGTTTAGGTGTTGTGTAATAAGATTTGAGAAAGTTGTAATCAACCAAATACATCCCCAACCTATTTATACATGTTTAGGGTGGTAAAATGGTAATTTTTAAAGAAAAAACGGTCAAAAACGATCACAAACCCCTTCCAACGGCTATATTAACGGCTAGTTTTTTAAACCCAGACCGGATTTTTTTTCCCAGATAAAAACCAATTTTTTAACCAATTTTTTTCAAACCGATTTTTTAACCGGTTAAAATAACCGGTTTAAAAAAATCCGATCCAGTTAAAAAAACCGGTTTTTCTCAAATCCGGTTTCGGATATTTTTTTCGCAAAATCTGATATTCTGATTTTTTGTGCACCCCTAGACTGTGCCTATATGGGGGTCGGCAACCCCCTGCCGGTGGTCATGTTCCAGCACTGCTTGATGTGGCTAATCGCAATCCATTGGCTGTCTTGTTCGAGTCGCTGCTACCGTGGGTTAACTATGGAGGTCCAGAAGGATGGCATGGTTGACGAAAACTGAGTTAATGAGCAAGGACAAGGCAGTGAGATATAATGTATCAAAAAGATCGCTGAGAACTTTCAGGCAAAATAATCCAGTTTTGAATAATGCCCGACACATGTATATCAATATCAGATTGATGTGTAGAAGTGGTTTTATTTTCGAGCTTCGTTTACAAAAATTTATGTGGTGATCTAAGCCAAACTCCGTCAATTTTGCGGCTGATATTTTAAGCATCTGAATCAACCTCGAGCGAAGTTGCTGATGGTCACGGCCGATTTAAATCAACACACTTTTCATCCGTCAACTAAACTAAAAGTGCCATTTGAAAATCATGGGGGTGAAATTTCAGAGAATGCCAGAATGGAGATATCAACTGTGAATCTATGCTTTTGATCTTCAAGAACCCCACGAGTCAAGTTGTATGAGTTGGGATTATATCATTGCTTCCGGCAGATTGTCATTCCATCTCCGATCGGCACCTAACATTCCAAAAGGCACATCATTAGGGAAGAACTGAATATTTCCAAAGAGAATTTGGTAAAAGGGCATTGTAATGCAAGTACTTACCATACTAATGCTTACTCGATTGTCCGCCATTAGGTTCCGATTGAAATTCCGAATGCTGACAGTCTTTGCATCATTTACCTGTTATAAGAAAAAAATTATGAGAAGACACTTCATCTGAATAAGCAGATTCTTATAAACAACTTACCAATGGATCAGCAACTTTGCCATGCCAAAGGACATTATCAATCACAATTACTCCCCCAACTCTAACCTGTAAACACACCACAACTATAACCTAAATTTTCCAGGCAAAGAAAAAAATTATGAGAAGACACTTCAGATGTTTGAGATTCGTTTGGTCTTACCAGCTGCAATAGCAGTTCAAAATATTCTTGATTCATCCTCTTCTCAGCATCAACAAATGCAAAGTCATAGCTGCTTTAGAGATGCAATGCGTGAGTTATAGTTGGTCACCATGATGCACTCTATCAAGAAAATGCAATGCACGTAAAAGGATAGGGTATAATATTTTTCGCTGCAACTCACCTGCAAGTCTCACCATTAGAAATCATAGATTTCAAGACATCTGCAGCTAGTCCATGTTTCACGCTTACCTAAAACCAACCAACAACTTAACTCTATATAAGATACCGTCGAAACAAGTCTGATTAACGCAAACACTTCTGGCAATTTATGACATTAATTTCACCATTGTCAAAAATAGGATAGGAAAAAATGACAATTTAAAAATGCTAAAACCGCTACGAATAGGAAAAAGATTTGATTACATGAGAAGTTAGTTACCTTGTGCGAAACACCAGCCAGTTCGTAATAACTTTTTGCAACCTCAAGGGATCCAGCATCTCTTTCACAGGCAACTAAACAGCCTGATTCTGGTAAAACCAATGCAACAGCCAGTGATGAGTATCCCTACAGAAAAAACCAATACGAATTCACTTTACCAAACTCAAAATCTACCTTAAAAAAGGGGAATAGTTCCAACTTCCAAATACTTTAATGCTATATTTGAGAACATGAATTTGAAATTTGGATTTCATTTGCTATATAAATTGTAAAAATGAAATGCTATTATGAATAAATGAGCTGAGTTTTGATGCCATATATATTTTAGAAGTATAAAAGCAGGTGAATCAAATCCATAAATACGAATCCATGAATTGGATAAATAATCAAGAATGTTACATTTGTAGGTGTTTGGAAGGTTCAGATCGATGTCGAAAGGAATTAGAGCACAAACTTACGGTGTAAACACCAAGTTCAATACATCTTTCAGCCCCGAGAATCTGTACCAACATAGCTAGTAATTGTGCTTGATCGGGAGACACCTTTTAAAATGTAAAATAAATAAATAAATCACATTTTTGGTTGTGAAACTACGGTTGATAATTCGGTACCTGCATTTGACTGCCGCGCATATTAGCGGTTTCTTCCCGCAACTGCCGGAGAATCTGAACACAGTAAACGTAAAAATTATGGCAAAATGGGTTTCTTTAAAAAAAGAAGTGGAATTTTGTTTTTAGAAGTACCACAGGCTCGCGGACATTGGCGAGAATATAATCGTAGATGCGAGGAGTGATGCTGATGACTTGCTTGTTGCCGTATTTCTCATCGTCTGCTACGATGAAAGGAGCAGCGTTTGATGAAAGCGAGCAATTCCTCGTGAGATTGTTCAACTTTATGAATCTGGATTTGGCGGCGCGTGAAGATAACGAATGGAATCGCTGTGGTCTACTTTGATAACTATGGCGCGTCGATAAGCCGAGGCTGAGCAGCGACTGATAGCGAAGATGGATGCCATTTGGGGAAGAGAAGAAAGGGATCGAGAAGTGTTTGGATTATAGCTGCAATTTTTGTCAAGGGCTAATGGATCGGGTCTCGTTATCTCCTTAATCAAATGGGTAAACTATACCATTTCTCACTGAAATTTACTCTTTATCTTATTTTATTCATTATACTTTTAGTTTTTTTAATTTACTCACTGAATTTTAAATTATTGTCTATATTATTTTATTTTTATCTTATTATTACTATTTTTAATTATTGCTCCTGTTTAGGATTAATAGGACGAAGTAAGGGAACCAACGATTTTCCTTCGGGGTGTTTGGTTCAAGGGTTGTAGGATTCTCATGTTTGGTTGGTCGGAAATCTCATTTTCGGTAATGTTTTATTACCAATAGTAAATTTTTATGGTATATTACCGGGAATGTCATTACCTCCCTTCCCTTAGGTATTGTAACATTACCGGAGTTTTGGATTAAAATGCCCTTAATTTTTATTTTTAAAAAAAAATATTTTTCTTCTGTCATTGAATAATAAAAATTATACGAATGTTAAATTATAAATTTATCTTTAAATTATTTTAGATTTACAAAAAAAAATCTATAATTAAAATTTTATATGAAGTTTATGGATTAAATTTTTTTTTACCTTTTACCCTTTCATTAAACATTTTTTATATTTTTAATTTTGAAAAAAAATATATAAATATTATGAATTTAATTTTTTAAAGAAAATATATAAATATTTTACAATTTGTAATATTATACAAATATATAATAAGGACAATTTGGTCAAATATACATTCTAATAATCTTTTATTCCTTTAACCAAACACGGTAATCTTACATTCCTGCTAAACCAACCAAACACAAAATACAACATTTCCATTAATCCTATTCGTTGGTAATCTTTTATTCCCTCTGGTAATCTTACATTCCGTGAACCAAACGCACCCTTCATGTTAGTCATTAACAATGCACAAATGCCAAATAATATAATAATTTCTTTTATCTGAAGAATGATCGCTTGGTTTAAATATACATAGAAATCTCATTGTTTTTATTTTTTTCTTAAATGTCAATCTTAAAATACACTATCATTCCAATAATATAATTTTTTTTCTTAAATGTGGTTTTAATTTTCATTATTATTAACTTTTGGGTTTCATTCAGATAATTAATTTTCTTATAGATATATATATATATAGTATCTCCTATATAATAAATTGATTCTTATTTAAACAAATGGTTAAATCCTTAACATATTTTATTAATTACAAGTTAGTATAATAAGATATGATTAGGGACAAAAATTTAATTTGAATTCGATATGTTATAGTTCAACTTCGTTTGATAGGGTTGAATTTAAATTTAAAGTACGAAATTTTTTACTTGACTTGACTCGAGATAATAGTATAATTTTTCTATATATTTAAGAATAATTGTTATAATACACATTTCTCTATAATTTTTTCACGTTAGATCCATATTTTGTCGATCAAAAATATTTTTTTATACTTTTGTGTCGAGTTGGATCAAATATAATTGTTTATTTCAATATTCAGATCTAATAAAACTTACCTATACTTGAGTTGAGTAGAGTTCGAGTAAAAGTTATATATTTCTCAAATAGAGTCGAATTAACTAAAACCTCAACATGTTATGTACAATCTTAATTACAATCACTCTTTTTAATATTATAATATATACAATCTCATTCAATAAACATTAATCTATATATATATATATATATTTCGCGGATAAAAGGTTAGACAAGCCGGTCCACCATATAAATACATAGACAAAATAAGGAGAAAATTCGCGCGCATTCCTCGATCCAAATTTGAAAATCGAGGCTTTCTCTGCTAAGCATCTCCTCGATTTTCAAATTCGAATTCGATCTCCCTATCTCTGCGGTAAGATTTTTTCTCCGTGATTGATTCTATGGTTTTTATTGCGCGACGAACATTTTTTTCAATCAATGTTTACTTTTCTCTTTGGTTTTCATGAAGAGAGATACTCGGTTTTAAAGATAAAATGGAAAGGGGAACAAATGAAGCTTCTAAGAAACGCATGAAACCAAACGTAAAAGCTTCCTTGATTTCTCTTTTTATTTTTTTCGTCTTTTTTTTTTCCGATCAAATTCATGACTGATTGTGTTGAAAACATTAGGTGGAAGAAAAAGAAGAAGATCAAGTAAGCAGGGGAAATGGTATGGAGATAACAGTTAACGAACAATCCGAGGCAAACGTCAATGGATCTGAAGAAATGGAACTCAATATCTCTCACATTCTTGAAAAGATTGATCGCTTTACTCAACTGGTAACAATAATTTAATCACTGTTTTTTTCTTCATTTTGCTGCTATTCATATTAACTTTAATTAGTGATTTTTTAAATATAATTTCATGGAGGTCTCTGAGCTGTTAGAATCTGGAAAGACGATGTTCAGGGAATTGAGTAACGAATTTGAAGAGCGGCTGTTTACGTAAGATTCTACCGCTATTATCTATGGATTCGAAATCTAAAACTGGAGGAGAAACTTCTTTTTTTTAAAAATTTGTTTTAATGAGTTTTTGTTTGTTGAAGGATACATAAAGAACAAATGGAGAAATGGCAGGAAGAGATCAAGGAGCTGAGATTGATAGATGCATCAAATGAAGAGGCAAGTGCTCTGTTGAATAATGCTCGTTTTCTACTTCAGAATCCCCTTTTCGAATCTTGAAAGGTACATTCAAATATGGTATCAAATGCCAACTAGCTTTTTCTTTCCATGGAGGTTAAGTGAAGAGAGATTTGTCAATGGTAGTAATTAGTGTCAAGCAATTTGAATTCTTTTGATTCTAAAATTGCGATGTAAATTGGTTTCAAACATTTTTGAATCCTCAGTTACCTGTTTGGCTAATGGAACTATAATATGCAAAAATTGTTTAGCTTAAGGAAACAGTTTGAATCCTTTGAAGGATCTGTTTGTTGGGTTGTTTACTAGTGCATTCAGCTCTCAGCAGAAGATATGAAAACCGGATCCATATAATCATTGGTCTTTGATATGTTCATTGCTCTTTTCACTGTGAAGTAGACAATTATCTTCCCTTCAAGCCATGACTTGTTTAGTTATGTATATATTACTAAACAATAACAAAATACCATTTTCAACACCATTCTAATCGAAGAACGTGAAACCATGTGTCATGTGTGAGCAATTGAATTGTTTTGAATGTGGAACCACCCATGTGCAATATAGGTGTAAACCATTAAAATAATCTATTCCCTATATATATATATTCTAGATCTGCAGTAGGAACGATATATATTCTTATCGGATGAAGGTAAATAAGGATGATATTAACTCCTTATTTTTTCCCAGTAATTATATTCTCATTTACTACTGTTGATCATAGTCTTTAATTTTTCTCACTCAATGGTCCTAAAAGGTGTTTATTAAATACATTATCTTCTGCTAACATGGCTTCTCCTCTCTTCTAATGTTTTTAAATACATTATTAATCACTGTTTATGAATATGGTTTCCGCTCTTAAGTAAAACATAATTTACTTTTTTTTTCTATTTTAGGAGTTGACATTGACTTTCTAACGTCAGTTGCAGAATCTCCTTCCAATTTGTTGTTAAATTTGATTTAGGCTTTTTTTTTTAGTTTTTTGGTGAAAACTATCTTCTAGAATAATTGCTAACGGGACTTTAGTTTTGGTAATTTTCTAATTCATTTATTGTCAAGATGTTTAATTGACTTTTTATCTATTAAATTACTATTTCAAAGAAACGAAATGGCAGTTCTGACTTATTGGTAATTGTGAGAAACTTTTGGGACATGTGAAAATGACAGGGCTAATTTTATAATAATTTCATATTATATTGTAAGATACTTGATATGTTTTAAATAATGAGAAAAAACCCATCATCTATGGTTCGAGTGAAAGCATAACCATTCCAAACGACAGAATAAACTAACATGGGTAAACAACGTATTTAGTACCTAAACTATCAATTATGATACGTTTAAGTATCTAAACTTTTAACTTTTCAAAATCATACCTAAAGTTTAGTTTTTATTTCATTTAAGTACTTATCGTTAAAAGTTTTAGCTTTTGTTTCATTTTAATATTTCCGTTCAAATTTAACATTAAGTTTTAAAAAAATTGAAAATTTTGTTACTAAAATAGACCAAAACTGATAGTTTAAATACTAAACACGTTATGGTTTTAATGACGGGTATTAAAATGAAATGAAAACTAAACGTTAGGTATGGTTTTAAAAAATTGAAAGTTAAAGTATCAAAACGGATCAAAACTGATAGTTTGTGTACTAAATGTGAAGTTTACCCTAATAACATTATGTTGAACACTTCAAAACATAAACCAGATGAATTCAAATGATAACATGGTCATTGCCTTACAACAGAATCAACTTATTTTTTTGGCAATTAAATTACATCACTCAATCCCAAAGAAACAGATCATTGTTCATTACAAAACAGTATTATTACATCAAACTGAAAGATGAATTTGGGTTACCACAAGATTTGATGATTTTTCTCCTCTGTTTTAACTCTTCTTAGGGGCAAGCCTGCTCTTGATCTGGCCGACTTCCTGTGTACTAATTTGGAACGCCTTGGTCAACACATTATCAGGCACCGCCGGAGTTGAAGCAAACAAGGTAGCAGCAATGGCCTGAGTTCCAGGCAACTGGCTATTGAATCCGGCGATGACCGATGCCGGCTGGTAACCGTTGTTCTTCTGGAAATGAACCAGACCCTTGGGGAACACAAAAACGTCTCCCTTTTTAATAGACTTGGTGTACAACTTGTTGGCTGTAGTGATGAACCCTACATCCAATTCACCTTCTAGGACAAAGATAATTTCGGTGGCACGCGGGTGAGTGTGGGGCGGGTTAAGTCCACCGGGGAGATAGTCAATGCGGGACAGTGACACTCCAAGTGTGTTCAGCCCCGGGATTTGCATGACATTGGCTCCGGTCACCACCGATCCCACGGTGTTGTTGATGACCGCTGGTTTAGCTATACCGCCGAAGAAAAAATCGGCTTGGGTTACGTCTGCATCGTTCTTGCATGGAAATCCATTCACCTTGACTCCTACAAGTAAAAATATATACAATATTAGGGATTTGTTTGTTTAAGCTCAGACTTGTTGACTTTGTTTTAGTTTACCTGAAGATGCGTTGGCTACGCAGATATCCTGGAGAGGATCGGGATCAGATTTAGCGACGGTGGAGAGGGCGGCGACGACGAGCAAATATGCCAAGAACTTGGCGGCCATGGAGATTTAACAATGAAGAGAAGCAAAAGGTATAATTATAGATTTCAGAGAAAAAGGAAAGTATTTGTTTGATTGTTGGATGAGAAAGGGAGCTGTTCTGTTTACTTAATATACATGAAGACAATGGGTAATCGTGTATGCATCGGGTGGAATAAATTAAAGATATGATGATAAAGTTTTGGGTAAACTTCACATTTAATACTTAAACTATAAGTTTTAGTCTATTTTAGTATCTAAACTTTCAATATTTTCAAAATCATATCTAACTTTTAGTTTTTGTTTAATTTTAGTACATGCCATTAAAAATTTAACACGTTTAGTACCTAAATTATCAGTTTTGATATGTTTTAGTATCTAAACTTTCAATTTTTTCTCAAAACGTAATGCTAAATTTTGAACGGGTGTACTAAAATGAAATAAAAACTAAATTTTTGGTATGATTTTGAAAATTTTGAAAGTTCAAATTCTAAAACGGATCAAAATTGATACTTTAAATACTAAATGAGTAATTCACCCTAAAGTTTTTCTAAGACGGAGATTATTAGATTTTAAACGCAAAGCAGATTATTTAGATGCAGATATATATTTTTCTCTCTAAAAAAGGGTAAGATTCTATCATTAGTTGTTATACTTTGTGGAAGTTACAAATTTAGTCATTATACTATTATTTAATTATTTTAAATCTCTAAAAAAATTAATTTTGAAACATCAATTTCTCTCTCTCATGGTATAGGTACAATATTACCAACTTATAGAGGTCAAACATGACAAAATTGAAGTATATGACTTAAATCTATAACTTGCGTACGTAATATATAAACTAATAGTAATATTTGGCTTAATAGACTATTGTTTAAATGGTGATTATACTTTTAAATTTCAAAAAGTATAGTGACTAAAATGGTCTCATTGGAGTATAAAAACTAAATTCAGAACTTATTAATAGCGAAGGGACCGATACAATAATTTGACAGAAAAAATGATTTCACCTGCCAATTTTGACCCTTGAAATAATTTGTAGGGTACTACTCATTTCGTGCAAGAAACATATTGGACTTGGGGGAGGTACATCATCAGTGACCCAATGTGTTGATAATTTAAAGAGAAAATATATATTTATTTAGTAAAATGAAATTTAAACATTTTTATTTAAAAAATAGTTTTGATAAAGGCATGCCTAACGTTTCTAGTATAAATCTGAAATTTAAAATATTTTAAAAGATAATAACTATCGTCGAGATTAATTAAATTTAAAAACTATTTTAGAAAAAAAATATATTTTTTAAAAATATACCATTTTTTAAAAATAAAGATATTTAAATATCATTTGACCGTGAGAATAAGCAATACTCCTACACTATTGCATTCTTCATGACTGTCTTATAGAAAAATAAAATAAATTATGCCAATGTGACAATCAAATTAAAGCCTTTGGGATATAGAATATGTGAAGTCCAATTACGTGTCATGTGCGTAATTTTTTTTTATTATTATTGTGAGATGTTTGTACTTACATGATTAACGTTAATCTTACATTATTAACGCTTGTTAAGCCATGTGGTAAGTAATTCAACGTCCATTAAATCAAGTTTAATATTCAACTCTTGTGGATAAATCAAAAGAACTCTCTTTGAGAGACCAATTCAACTGATTCTAAATTTAATTATTTAGTTAAGATCTAATGTTACTCATTATGTACTATTATTAAAATGTCTCTTTAATGTCGTATTTAAAAGAGTCAACAAACAACGATATATATTTCTTTTTTTACCTTTATACCCCACTCTTTTATACATATCAAAATAAATTTGTCAAATACGTCAAACACCTTTTAGGGATAATTTTATCATTTTTCTTGATCAAATATATCTTCTAAAATTACGTACATGATCAATATAAGTTATAAATTATGGGACGAAAGAAGTATTATCAAAACTTCGTTGTTTATTCTCCAACATCCTCCTTTAGCGACAAGCAAATCATTATATTAAAGGTTTAGTTAAGGTTTAAGCAAGATTTATTTTAGGTTTATAAATAAATAAACCGAAATGGGTTGGCATACCAGCTGTCGTTGACGTTGCAGTGGCTGTTAAACCGGTCCCATAATGTAGAAGCTTACATTTTAGAAGATCATTAACGGCATGGTTCATGCAACAGTTCATTATGGTTGTGGTTATTGTCATGCTTTAGTTAAAGTGACTACCTTCGTCTTCCTGGCTTCAATGCAAAAGTGAAGTCATATATGCTCTTTCTCTTTTTCGGGGGAAAAAAACTCCGACCATCTCCAAAGTTAATAGCAGAGATCGACGCGTACGTGCTGGTGCCCGTGCTGAGAATATGATTATCCGGAAAACAGAAAACTAGTGTGTAGTTGCTTAATAACTACCAGAGTACGGTGGCGCATTAGGGAAAACCAACAAGCTTACCTTTCTTCTAACAACAACAAAAGTAGAAGCATGGCTGCCTGAAAATGAAAAAGCGGTCTAATTATGGGTTTAGTCCCTTTACTACGTTGAAATTTGAGATTTATCCATCTACTTTAATTTTGGAATAATTTGTTCCATCAAATTTTATAATACTAATAACAAGTCCAAATTAGAGGGAATAAATCCTGAATATATATATATAGGCTTTGAAATGAGAGACTTCCTTTAAAGCGGGAGGGAAATGGTGAGACCAGGATTCTCATTCATTTCTGAAATGCATAAATGATTTTACCCCTTGAAAACGATATACTGTTGAGGCAATATGAAATTGTGAAGAAGAAAAAAAAAGGAACAAAAGAAGGAGATGAAGAAATCATCCAGAATACCTCCAAATTCTTCCCTCCAATGAAACAACCATAACCGAAACATCATCGTGATATTTACGCCGATCTCCATGAGGTATGTCGAGCAATTCGTGAAAATCCATTCCTGCGAAAGTTCAAAAAAACCCCATCAACTAAATGTACAAAACAGTGCTTCGAACCAATCCATGGTTTTCGCAGATTGCATTGTACGTCGATCCCTTTTCGAGCGGGGAAAAAGAAAATCATGGAACACTCGAAGCAAAGAGATGTTACAAGGTCGCATTTTTGCAGTTTGTTTCACAAGAAACTGTCCTTGATTATGCAGCTGCATCTATCCAGAAGACTAGAACCTTAACTAACGTAAGATATGATGAAAGGACGGCATATTAGATAATCCTACCATTCTTTTTGGCAGCACGGAATAGAAGCTCTGCAACGAGGTACTGTGCAGGATCACCTTCGGGAACATTATCCATGAACCATGTGACATGGGCAATAACCTCTTCATTGCTGAAATACTGGTAAAGCCCATCGGATGATAGAACCAAGAACCGATCACTTGAGGAGAGTCGATGATGAACAACAGAGGGGATGCAGCTAAGATAAGGAGCATTTCCCACATAATCGATCTGAAACATCTCTAGTAGAGCTTCATTACAAGCTGGCTGCACCAAATAAGTGAAATGAACAAGGAACCAAATTATTTTAACATCAAATAAATCAGGCAGGCCTCCATAAACATGGCTGCCAGAAAATCCGAATAAAAACAAAGGCACTCCCAAGCTTGACCCATGTTTGACTCGCTGAAAAATTGATCCCCAAAATGCTCTATAACAAGAAACTACTAGAACCTAAATGCTCATCATTAACCAACATCACAAAACCTTCAGGCCTAAAATACTGAAAGAAATGCTCGCTATGACCAATTAATATCTGGTACAACAGGTTATTTTGCCTATAAAACTAAAGATTAGAGCAAGAGCCAAGAAGCAAAAGAATGATGAAGAAATTCTGTTAGATTGTAATTATTTTACTCATAAACATCGTAGTTTCTATTGTTTTTTCTGTTCTACTAATCATTCGAATCTCAAATGAGAGATAACAAGAAAATCTGAAAGTTACAGATGCTGGCTCAACCAACCTTCTTCAGGAAACCAGCACCGAAAGCTCTAGTGACTTTCAATTGCCCCTTCACCCTATCATTTGAAACGGCTTTGTCGTCATCAGGATGCTCTGCCTTTATTCTTAAGATTTCCTGCCATAGACAGACATGAACAGGTAATTATTCCCCAAATGACATGAACTCACTTATAGTTTAAAAACTATAAAATTAATGAGTTTACTCATAGTACAACTAATCTAATATTTGAAGCCATACTCCGGGGTAAATAATCAATTGACTGTTTATCTTAGTTATTCAAATTGATTACAGTCATGGATATAGGCCACTCAGCAACACAATGATAACAAGTCCAATAAAGGAAGATACATCCACCACGTGAGTAAAAGGCCCACCATTTTTTCAGCTCAACAACTTACAGTGCCTAGCCAGCATGCTCTTTTAACATGAAATGTATCAAGTTAAAATAAAATTATCGAAGTGATGGTAAAAAAAAAGGTGTTGAAGTGATCCGGTATTATAATGTAGATTTGATTTATCAATTGTGTGAAATCTATGAATATAAACAAATACATAATAAACTTGTACACTTTGATCATTCCAGATTCAAACGCCATATTCAACATTCCAACTATATTCTCCCTGCATGTTTGTTAAGAAAAGAAGATTTTCACAATTTACAAGGACATAATGGTGATGGATATCATCCAAATTCCAAAAATATAATAAATTCAATATTTTAAATGTAATATTGAGCTTGTCAGTAAACTGTAGCAAACCTCTTCAATACTTGTGCTGTGGTCAGAGGAAAGCTGAATCGCCTTCATCTTCAATTGGCAGATAGAGATGTCTCTGTTCTTATTTATCATGCTGACTAGCCCATGTTGCCTATGCATAGGAGACTCCTCAGATATTATGTCCAGCTCCATACACAATAGTGACTCTCTTGATCTATTTCTATACTTTAAATCATCCTTCAAAAGAGCTGGGTTGGGATGGCGATCATTTGGTCTTTCTTGTGCCAAGATCACACGGCTGTCCCCAAGGTTCATGACATATACATCCTGATCCTTCATTAACATCACTAGTACACATGATCCCATCAAAGCAAGCTCTGGGTTTATGTCAAGAGCCTTTTGCACCATTTCCATATAAGCCTCTTCAGTACTTTCTAGCGCTCGAGCCAATGCTCTCAACACAGCATCATGATCCACAACTCCTGACTTGCACCTCCTAATAGGTCTTGATGATTCAACTATTCTCTCATCCACACAAATCTCATCTCTGTGCCAATCATGTCTCCAAGGAAAAAGCTTCTTTCGTAATGACTTCTGCTTCTGATATATCTTTCTTATCTTTGAACCAATCAAAGACTTTCTTGTACTCTGTCTTTGGCCTGACATGGAAGCAGCAGTTGCAGCACTTTGATTATCAAAATCTAGCCCAACCCCAGTATCCTCTCCTGAAGTAGTAGGATCTTCACATTGTATGATATAAGCATCATCTTTGTAATTTGATGAACTGATGCATTCTACATTATCTGAAAGCTGATGACAGCAATCAGAAGAGACCTTTCCTTGTCTATCCATTTGAGAGGTTGACAAAGAACCTTGACCGTCCCATGATTCCATCTGAAGTAGTTCATAAAGTCGCATGCTCTTCCTGCCTTGACCAGCTAAGTTTGCATGTTGAACAAACTCAGATTCAACCCCTAAACTGGACTTTCTACAATTAAATACATTCCTTTCATTGCTGCCCCTCACATCATCATTTTCCACAGTTATTTCAATATTAGAAGATTGACCCTTGTCATTTTCTCCATTAAGTGGCTTTCCTACGCTAGATGATACTTCTTGATCTGAACAAGAAATTGCCTGATCTTCGTTGCTGCACTCTAAACCAGTATCATGATTTTTACTCTCTGATATTTCAGGTTTTAAAAGATCAATTCCAGGTTCATCATAATCCCAAAGGAGTCCTTCAAGTTCTTTGTCTATGGCTTTATAAAGATATCTCATTACAAAATCAGGAGCATCAGGACCACTAAAACCATCATATATCCCGATAAACAGCCATCCTTGCTCTTCAGAAAGCACAACATGAACCCTATCTTCACCAGCCTTTCCATGAGCCCACTGCAAGTTGCGACTGTTCCCATACTCCCCTTCAGATAGCCCCCCTTCAAAACAGTTTCGAGAGGGTTCTGATCGAAACTTTGTCTCCTTAGCATGCCATGCCATTTCGGTCACTGGGTGCAAGAAAAGCCTGTGCATCCAACCAGACCCCATCGAATGCTTCAAAAAGGTCCTTCTCATCTGCCCACTAGCACTTCTCATCAAACGCTGGAAACGTGGTCTTATACGACTGCGTGTAAGTGGAGCGGAGAAATTGGATTTGTCAGTAGCATCAAGGGGTCCAGACATCATACCCTTCTCAATTGGTCCAGACATAAAACCAACTACCTTATCTAGGGGCCCTGAAGCAAACCCCCTCTCAAGGGGACCAGACATAAACCCATTGAGAGGACCGGAACCACGAGGAACCAGCTGCAAAGGTATTGCAGCAAACGATGAGGTACTCTCAAATGATGCAGCAGGCTCCTGGACATCAATGGCAAACATCGCACTTTGATTACCAGTTCTAGCCGTAGATACATTCGCGCTGACAGACGCACCGGAGATCGTCCTAAATGTGGTTTCCAGAAAACTCTTATTCATTCTCTGTAGTCCCAAAGGTTCCTCGATGGTATCATTTCTAAATGACCCACTCAAAGTCTCAGAATCGAGAGTACTCGAATCAACAGTAAACCTCTCAGAGTTCGATGGAGTAATGGCAGGAGAGTCGAATATCGAAGGCCTAACATAACAAAATGAATGGCCTAAACCCTCATCCAAGGGCTCTAGATCTAAATCAACCCTGGTTTTGCCATTAAACGGCACAAAGCAACCAGCAACACGAGAAGTACCATTACCCATTTCTCCTCTCTATCTCATGAACCCTCTAAAGACTATACTATTGACAATGAGGTTTGTATCACTCTGCAGCATAAGCAAATGCAAAACACAAACTCAACTCAAACCAAAACCTAAAAACCCCTTCACCACCCCATCAATATTCCGGTGACTTAGCATCATAAAAATGGGCAACTTCGAAGCTAAAATTGACGCAAACCCAAGTCTTTCTTAGATAATTATGATTGAAAAAAAAACAGTATATTTACCGGCCGAGCAAAAGGGAAATATGAAAATGTGACGATCTGACCTTAAAGGAGTGAGATTTGAAGCATGAATAAACCAGTGAATGGAACACACCCCGCATAACAGATCTACCGGAGAAGCAAAGGGGGCAGTAAACGGAACAAGACATCAGATAAAAACAAAGACACCGAAATTTAAAGATATTATATGGTTATGGAATCTGACAGTGACCATGTTGGAAATTAAAACCAATAACCCAGATTGAAACTATCCCTCCCGTGATTGAATCATGCAGCTACACAAGAGCTGTTCAAGATCAAGCATTAGTTCATACAAGTAAAAATATATTTAAATGAGGAAAAAAATTGTTCTTTAAACAAGGAGGGGGGAGATTGAAAATGGAAATTTGAGGAGAGGGTAAAAAATGTAGGTGTTAAATGAAGGAACATGCTTTAAATTAAATTGGGATTTGGCTTTCTGATGACGAAGAATCAAAGTTTAGTTCATCAAGGAGGGCCTCTTTCTTGGGGTTTTCAAATGGTTTGCAAGGGTAAAAAGAGAGTAAAGGAAAATACTTTAAATTATCTCTCTTCGTTCACGTACCAAAGTTGAAAACTTGAGACTGTCATTAACATGTATTTGGTTTAGTTTATTTTGTTTTCTTCCTGATTGTTTTTATTAATTCGTTGGTTTTTAATTATTTTTTTATAGAACTATTTTGGGTAAAGTACACAAATGGTCTTCTAACTATAAGGTACTACTTTATTAAGTCACTTAATTATTAAAAGTTACAAAATGATCCCCATGTAACCCCCTAGACCCGGCCTATGCGTTTCGACTAAGTCTAGTGGATCATATTATGATTATTAAAGACATTTTCTGAAACCGTTATTCCATCAATATAAAATCACATTATAAATAACATGAAATTATAAACAAATTATACTGTCAAAATCCAACTCGTAAATATAGTACCAATAAGTAATAAATTAATTTAAAACATGTCTTCAAATTCAAAATCACAATAAACCAAACAGTAATAGCAAAAGAGTCATCATTATAAATCCGATATTTTAAAATAAGGTCCATGTCACCAAAATAAAGTCAACTTGCAAAATAAAAACATTACAATCTGATTTATTTCAAGAGATATGTTGATCCTCCAAGTGCTCGAACCGAGGTATCTAACCAACAGTATCTGAAAGGGGGAAAACATTTTCGAAAGGTGAGCTAAGCTCAGTGTGTCCCAACATTTCCATAAAATCACAATAGGTACAAATCATAGTCCAGTAAATCTCACAAATTCGTAAAAGAGTTTAACTTTTGAAAATCATAGTTTAACCTTTTTCTGGTACACCATCAGTAGTTCCCAAAATTATTTTCCATATAGCTTACTTTATGCACATAGCAAAAAGAAAGCCGACTTAAGGATAGGCTATGAAGCTTATATCCTTAAGCCCAAGTTAATAAGTCCATATAGCTTACCCTAAGCACACAGCAAAGGAAAGCCGACCTAATGAAACATCTTGGGGCCCTCAAGAGTCACATTAGGCCCATTTAGCTTGATCAGAGCTATTCCATCGTAATTCAATTCCAAAATTCAATTGCACCGTGACATAAATTCCATAAATCCAAAAACATGGTAATCATATACCATTTCAAAACAAAAATTAGATAGCAGCCATATTCCATAAATTGTCACATAAAATTGGTGCATCCATAAAACAATAACTAATGAATTCGGTGTACCACATATTAAAACCAATAAAACAGTTCAGTAATAAGTATGGAACACACCTCGACAATAGGTTCAAATAGCAAATTTACTGATTGTTGGTTTCACCACGCTCTGCTACAGTTTTCGAACGCGTGAATAATGGCACACGTGGTTTAACTGATCTAGAAGAGTTGGGTCGAGCTGTCGAACGATCTGTAGAGTCTCTTGTACCTTCAAACAATAATAATTGATCAGCCCTAAATCTTATTTAATTGTTCAAAGCTATAATTCTTAAGTATCTAAGCATTTTTTGGTCAAAGTCAACCACTTTGACCGTCAATTTGGAGGCCTTCGGGTTCGAATTTGACAAAACGGACAGCGGAAACGGATTCGGCACGTCGAAAACTATCAGGATAGGTATACTTGGAAAAGATTAACAGTCGTTTAATGCTCGGTCAAAGCCATTTTAAGTTTTGGTCAAAGAAAGTCAACGGTCAACTGTCAACGGTCGGGTCTGGTCGGGTCAAAGTTCGGGTCGGGTCGGGTCGATCGGTCGGGTCAGACCGGTCAAACCGGTTCGAACCAGTCGAAACCGGTCAAACCGGTCAGAACCAGTTGAAAACCGGTTAAACCGGTTTCCAGCAGCCACTCTCCCTGCGGCGGCGCGTGTGGCGCGTGAGGCGTCCTCCGGGGCCCTAAAAATCCCGGAAATATTTCTAAAAATTATTTTGAGCGATTTCGAGATACTTACAACGATCAGTTCAAATTTTTGAACGGCGGAGAGCTCGATTTCAAATCGGTCGAATCTTTGACTGCACCACCTCTTCAAGCGCCGCCGTCGACGGCGGACAAGGTTGACACCGGCGGACTCGAAACGACACAAGGAACACGATGGTGTAGGAAGTGTCGTAAACTGAGCAACGATCGGCGGTGAATTTGAGATTTTCCCGGTGATAGAGCTAAAAAAACGTCGATGCTTTGACTTGAAATTCCCGACGTTTAGAAGTGTTTCGCTTCAATTAATTTAAGGGGATTGTTCCTGACTCGATAACGAACACGATGGTGGTTTCAATTTGACGATCGGATGTCGAACGACGTCGGAATCGGACTTGAAAGTCGAGGTACGAGAGGAGTGAAAGTTTAAGAAAAGCTTTTGTGTTTTCTGATTGAAATCAGAAAACACGTTAAGTTATAACCAAACATGCCGACACTTTTAGGGGAAATTCAGGGCTTGGTCCCTGAATTTCCTTTACTTTGAACATGGCATATAAGTTTTCATAAATTATACTTTAGTCACTTAATTTCACCCATTTTCACAATTTACCTCCAATTTCAATTAATATTATTTTGTAAATAGTCGGGATGTTACAATTCTCCCCCTCTACAAGAAATTTCGTCCTCAAAATTTACCATATGAGAATAGTTGAGGAAACTGAGCCTCCATTGACTCCAATGTCTCCCAAGTAGCTTCTGAGGGACCTCGATTACTCCACTGAACTTTGACCATTGGAATTCGCCTATTCCGAAGAACTCGTTCATCTCTCTCTAATATCTAAATGGGCTCATCTTCATATGACAAATCAGGTCTCAGCTCTACTTCTTCAACCTGAATAATGTGACCTGGATCTGGACGGTATCTCCTCAACATTGATACATGAAAGACATCATGAATACGACTTAGCTCAGAAGGTAACTCAAGCTGATATGTAACAGGTCCTACCCTCTTCAAGATACGAAATGGTCCAATAAATCTTGGACTCAATTTACCCTTACGCCCGAATCTCAATACTTTCTTCCAGGGTGAAACTTTCAAAAAGACCTGATCTCCAACCTCAAACTGTATATCCTTCCTCATTTGATCTGCATAAGATTTCTGCCTATTAAATGCCTCCTTCAGACGGTCACGGATTAATCTGACTGTGTCCTCCGTCTCTCGCACTAACTCAGGTCCCAACGTTTTCCTGTCACGCAACTCAGTCCAACAGATCGGAGTGCGATATTTTCGCCCATAGAGTGCTTCATAGGGTGCCATATGAATGCTGGTCTGATAACTGTTAATGTAAGCAAATTCAGCCAACGGCAAAAAGTTCTCCCAACTACCATGAAAATCGATTACGCAACCCCGCAACATATCCTCCAGAATTTGAATCACTCTCTCAGATTGACCATCAGTTTGTGGATGAAAGGATGTACTATAATCCAATCTTGTTCCCAAAGCCGTATGTAGCGCCTTCCAAAATCTCGAAGTAAATCTTGGATCTCGATCAGAAATAATAGACAATGGAACACCATGTAATCGTACAATCTCTGAAATATACAATCTCGCCAACTTGTCCAAAGTATAATTTACCCGCACAGGAATGAAGTGAGCTGACTTTGTAAGTCTGTCAACAATCACCCAAACTGAATCTTTTTTCGAATGAGTCATAGGTAATCCGGTAACAAAATTCATAGTAATACGCTCCCATTTCCATTCAGGAATCTTGATAGGCTGTAACAAACTTGATGGATGTTGATGTTCTGCCTTAACTTGTTGACAGGTCAAACACCTCGCTACAAAATTCGAGATGTCCTTCTTCATGCCGATCCAATGATACCTCTCTCTCAAATTCCGATACATCTTATCTCCACCGGGGTGCATAGCATATGGACTACTATGAGCCTCAGTAAGGATAGTCTGTCTCAACTCAGCATCATCAGGCACACAATACCGACCTTTGAAGCATAAAACTTCATCCCGGTCAAGGGCGTAATCTGAGCTTGTCCCCTGCTCTACTTGCTCAAAGATGGGAAGCAATGAGCTATCAAAGGGCTGCTTAGCCTTGATCTCATCAACCAAGGTCGGCTTAACTTACAATTCTGCTAACAAAGTGCCATCGTCATATAAATTCATCCTGGCCATTAAAGATCTCAACTCCGATACCGTCTTTCGACTCAAAGCATCCGCTACAATGTTAGCTTTACCAGGGTGATAATCAATCACACAATCATAATCCTTCAGAAGCTCTAGCCAGCGCCGTTGTCTCAAATTAAGCTCTTTCTGGGTCAGGAGATACTTTAAGCTCTTATGATCCGTGAAAATATAACACTTCTCTCCATAAAGATAGTGTCTCTAAATCTTCAAGGCAAAAATCATTGCTGCTAACTCCAAATCGTGAGTAGGATAATTACACTCATGAGGTCGCAGCTGACGGGATGCATAAGCCACCACTTTACCTTCCTGCATTAAAACGCAGCCAAGTCCTGAGTGTGAAGCATCACTATACACTGTAAAATCCTTCCCGGACTCTGGTTGGATCAACACCGGTGCTTGAGTCAAAACCGCCTTTAATTTCTCAAAGCTCTCCTGTTGTGCCTCGCCCCAGTCAAACGGCACATTCTTCCTTAACAACTTTGTCAGAGGAGAAGCAATGATCGAGAAGCCCTCAACAAAACGTCGATAATAACCAGCCAAGCCCAAGAAACTGCGGATCTCAGATACGTTCTTAGGTCGTTTCCAATTCATAATAGCCTCTATCTTGCTGGGATCGACTTAGATACCTCGCGCAGAGATAATATGCCCTAGAAACGACACTTCACGAAGCCAAAACTCACACTTGCTTAGTTTGGCATATAGACAATGCTGTCTCAAAGT